AAATTCCCCAAATCCCAAATTCCCCAAATCCCAAATTCCCCAAATCCCAAATTCCCCAAATCCCAAATTCCCCAAATCCCAAATTCCCCAAATCCCAAATTTCCCAAATCCCAAATCACTAAATTACCAAACTTCCAAATTCCCAAATTCGTAAATCACTAAAAACCGAAATTTCCAAAAGCCTCCAATTCCGAATTTCTTAATTCCCAAATTTCCGCGTTCCCCCAAATCTTCAAATTTCAAGTCCCTACATTCACAATTCCCAATTTGTTAAGTTCTCAAGTTTCAAAAATCCCCAAATCTCTAAATCCGTAAATCCCCAAATCTCCCTGCATCTCCAACAATCAGCAACATTTAAAAATTCCGTTTCCTCTCCGGAGCTTCGCACATCTCTTATCCAAAATACCCCATCGAGAAATCTTCATTAACACGTAAATCCACGTTTCAGGATTAAGAACACACCCTCAGTCCACGGTGTTTGAAAAATTCGCGAATAATTGGTCCAAGCAAAAAAAATGGGATGGGGCTAGAAAATGGAACATAGGAGAAGAATAGTAGAACAGGGAATAGAATGAACAGTAGAGAACATAGAATCGTGAAACAATAGGCAGGACGAATGGCAGGAGAGGGCAAAGCAAAGAGCACAGAGAGGAGGGAGTAAGGATAGGGGTAGCTGTAGAGAAAAAAGGGGCGGTGTGGAAGGAGAAAAGATGGAAGGAAAAAGGTGAACAGCAGGGAAAAGGGGTTGGTAGAAGTCTGCATTTGCATTCCAAATAAACGTCGACGATGGACGTTAAATCGCTCTAATTAGTCGTCCCGCTATGAAAGTACTTTAAGCGGTGCTTGTTCGGCATCCGGCGCGCGTTCTTAAAGCGGAAAAGCGAAGAAAAAGCTGCGGAAGAAAAGTCGATCCCGGAAGTTCGCTCAAATCGTCCATGACGCGTAAAGAGAAGTCGTCAGAGGGTCGATCGTAGAAATTCAATGGCCGAAACTGTGTACACGGTGCTCCCGGATTGGTACGAACGAGAGGAGGGTGAATTTACAGGCCCTCGCCATCGACTTAGGACCACATACAAAAATTTTACTTTTATGGCTATAACATTGTGCCATACATTCAACTTGAAGACCATAGATTTCTTATAGCAAATCAAATCGAAACTAAACATTCTACAATAAAACTTTATACCAGTTCACTAATATGAAACTTTAAATTAGTTCATTAATTACTTACGCAAAGAAGTGTTAATTTGAACTTCGCTACATAAATAAACCATTTTTGTATCTACGTACAGACGTGTATAAAATCTAGAACATCAAACTGATATACAATAAGTGTCATTCTGCGGGACTGTCATCATATCATGTTAGAGTTACTTTTGAAGATTTTTGAGGTTTTGTGGTGGAAAATCGATAAGCTCCGACGAGACTCTATCTTACAGTGTATTGGTTGACAGAGACAAGAACAGTACATATTTGGTTTTCAGAAATGAGGAAAAATGCAACTTTGTTTTTCCAGGATTTTGAAGCCAGGAAGCAATATTTTGTCCTGATTTCTTTTGCAAGACATTGTTTTGTAGAATAATGCAGGGTAGTCATGAGCAAAATTTTGCTATTTTACCCGTAAATTTCCCGAGAGGGAAATATACAAGCTTTTATAGAAGGAATTTGTTCACGTCCCATTTTTCCAAAATTGCTACAAATTAATCATTGAGAAATTTGGAAATTTAGGGGTCTGAAAATTAAGAAATTTGCGAATTTAATGGTTTTATAGTTTAAGAATGTAGGCAGTTGGTAAATTTAGAAATTTAGAAATGTTGAAAATATGGAAACTTAGAAATTTTAAAATTTGGAAATTTGAGTTTGGAAATTTGAGAATTTGGAAATATTCGAATTTGGAGATTTGAGAATGTGGAAATTTGAGAGTTTGGAAATTTGAGAATTTGGAAATTTGGGAGTTTGGAAATTTGAGAATTTGGAAATTTGAGAATTTGGAAATTTGAGAATTTGGAAATTTGAGAATTTGGAAATTTGAGAATTTGGAAATTTGAGAATTTGGAAATTTGAGAATTTGGAAATTTGAGAATTTGGAAATTTGAGAATTTGGAAATTTGAGAATTTGGAAATTTGAGAATTTGGAAATTTGAGAATTTGGAAATTTGAGAATTTGGAAATTTGAGAATTTGGAAATTTGAGAATTTGGAAATTTGAGTTTGGAAATTTGAGAAAATTTGAGAATTTGGAAACTTGAAAATTTGGAAATTTGACTATATGGAAATTTGAGAATTTGGAAACTTGAAAATTTGGAAATTTGACTATATGGAAATTTGAGAATTTGGAAACTTGAAAATTTGGAAATTTGACTATATGGAAATTTGAGAATTTGGAAACTTGACAATTTGGAAATTTGAGAGTTTGGAAATTTGAGAGTTTGGAAATTTGGGAGTTTGGAAATTTGAGAATTTGGAAATTTGAGAATGTGGAAATTAGAAATTTGAAAATTTGAAAATTTGGAAATTTGAATATTTGGAAATTTAGAAATTTGAAAGTTTAAAAATTTTAGAATCTGAAAATTTGGAAATTAAGAATTATAAACTTGAAATATAAAAACAGAAATTGTTCAAACATGATACTCGAAAATGTAATAATTTCAATGACTAGAACCTCCAACATCTCAGCCTTAAAAATTGTAAAAAATTCGTGGATTCCTACATCTCAAAATTCGAAAATTTCGGAATTGCATCCTTACTCTCACCTTTCTAACGACAGAAAAATAGAACTATTTCCTAAATACCCACAATGTATTTACTCAGAAACATAAGCTGTATAAAAAAAAAAGTGCAAATGCGTGCAAATGCTTGACTATCGTGTTCTCCCAATCCATTTCATCTCGTTCCAAGTTGCAACCCCTATTTTCTGTGTCGAGGTTCGACCGCGAAGAGGCAGCGACTTAACCAGAAAAGCGAAGAACGCTCAACGAAGAGGGGTTGCGACGCTTGAATGGGGGGTAATCGAATGAATGAAAAGCTCGTCTGAATGCTTTTGGGTCGTCGGAACGGTTTGAAAGGGATGTTAGGTGTTGTTTAAGGGTTATTGTTGCGCCCCTTTTGTCCTGCCAGTTCACGATGCAGTCTGTACATCGCAGTTCTGTTAAATATAATTTATCGGAGCGGAAAAAAGGATAGCGCGTTATCTTGACAACCATTTCTTACCCGCCCTTTTATCCTGATTCGTTCAGAAGAATCTCAAAAAAACGTGAAACAATGTTTTTTTTAAGAACATCTAACACTTACTAAAACTTATTCAAGATATTTAATTTAACCCTTTATTTCATCAAATAATATGATACATTTTTGTGTTTTTTAAGTATGAATAATTACATAATTAATGAAACTGAAAACCTTGTAAAATGTTAATTTTAATCTTAGAAAATATTGTAAACTTTTGTTGGTTTTTGTAATTATGATTTTTTTGTGCTTTTTTGATATATTCTAAATTTGCCATATTATTTAATTTTTTAAATAGAAAATACTTGTTTATTGTTATTATTACTTTTAAAATTCTGGAAGTATTTTCAGAATTAAACAGATGTAACTGTTTAATTAGGTATTATTTTTCTATTTTATTTACTTTAGAAAAGTCTCTTTTTTATAAAAATTTTACTAGAGCACAATAGATCTAATCACAGCAACTAAAGGTTAATTACAGAAATTTATGCCAGAGTATGCCACAATTTATAACGAATTTTAATGGCAATAATTATTCACAAGCCACCCGTATAGTGCGAAACTTGGTAAACCGTAAATGTGGTTTCCATGATCATAAACATCTGGCTTGACAATTATGTTCGCTATTTTCTTTTCAACCCCGAATGCACTGACAAACGGTGTTCGCTCATTTGAAAATCATTGTAACTAACAGTTGGTTAACGATGAATATCAATTTTGTAATTATTAGTATCACTAATTTTATTTTTTAAGAGTGAGGATTGAGAAAATTAAAATTAAAGTAAAATGTAATATAATTAAAGATATTAGTAATACCTCAACAAAATTATAGATAAATATTAGTTTATTCATATGAACAGCTGCTTAGATGGAGAAGATGCAAATATTAAGTGACTGATTTATTCAATCACTGTTAAATAATAATTGGTTTAATTCTATCTGTAGATCAGCTGATCAATTGATCAGCTTATATGTAGATCAATTGATCGATTGATCAGTTATGTGGATCACAAATTCTTTTATTAAAATATTATTTAGTATTTGCATTTATATCTAATTTTTTACTCATTGTTAATCCTACAGCAATTTAGTAGTACAAAAATAAATATAATAGAAAATTGCGTCTTTATCCAAAGGTAGTTAGAAGAAACTTCTAACTTCCTTTTCTTTTTCTTTTCATTACCTAACACTTCTAAAGAAAGAGAAGAAACAAGTTGTTCAGTAACAAGTATGTTAAAATAAATCAAACAAAAGGCAAGCGTCAAAGTATATTTCGTCCAATTTTCCTCAACAAACTAGTAACCTAGCTCGAAACAACCTCGAAAACAAAAGGAAAAGAAATGAAAAGCAGAGAACATTAAAAGAAAACAAATTCAACACTTCTAACGAGGTGTAACATTTTTGTTCCCACCAGAAACAGGGTACGATTGTATCTTCATTTTGAAACCACCGCAGACTTCCCCCTTCGATAAATTAATTCTGGCTGTTTCGCTTAGCGGCGATGTAAAGATTAAAAGAAAAATTTTCTCATAGTAGCAACGAAAGGGGAAAGAAACAAAGGGAGAAAAGAAGAAGTTATCGCGCGTATTGTGTGCTTAAGGCGTTTAACGTCCTCGTAAAATCGCTTAATGGACGAAAGTTTCGCGAGAAGAAACCGCGTAAAGTTTCGACTTAAAGTTTTGCGTTAGCGATCCGTCCCCTCTCCGCCTCGAGTTTATTATAGAGGATAAAACAAGATAATACGAAGAATTCAAAGGATTTTCGTTTGCATTGCAGAAAATATGTGTCTTCCAAAAGTCGCTGGAGGATTTGTCGTCGCGAATGGCCGCCGCCGAGGCGATCCAAAGCGGCTGGCAGAATCCGAACGACGCCAACGAGGCGACGGAATTGCTGGAGCAATTGCAGAAATTTGGCGAACGACTGGTGCCCATACAGAGGAACATCGAGGACGCAAACGATCAGGCGAGCGTCTTCGCCTCGAGCAGCGTCATCGTTTCTCATGCTTTGCTGGCGAAACTCGAAGATCTCAACACCAGGTATCCCATCAAACTTTTTAAATTCCTATTCAAATTTATGATTTCACCTTATGGACGCTGATGTGGTTCCTCACATTTTGTCTCTGCTAGTTTTCTTGTTATTGGGGATTATTATTTTTAAGCTAGTATGGGTAATATAGTCATCTATTAACCCGACGAATAGCTAAGTAGTACTGAGCGTTGAGGGTTGATTACTGTTATTTATAATTAATACTCTAATTACAACTGTAATCACTAAAACTTTGATCTCAACATCAGGTATCCCATCAAACTTGTCAGATTCCTCTAAAAATTTATTGCACTTAAATTATGAACAATAGTATAAGTCATTATTCATATTCCGCCCCACAACTGTTAATATTAGGCTATTAGTTTTCTTGTTATGGAGGATTATTATTTTTAAGCTAGTATGGATGTAAATATAGTCATGTATTATACCCAAAGATAGCTAAGTAGCACTGTGTGTTGAGGGTTGGTCACTGTCATTTATGATTAACACTGTAACTATAATTATAATCACTAAAGCTTTACTGGTGAAGCTCAAAAATATCAGCATCAGTTATCCCATCAAACTTGTCGGATTCTTCTCAAAATTTATTGTGTTAATGGACACCGATGTGTCCTATATAAGGATCATTATTCATATTCCTCAAAACTTTGCATATCATTTCTCTTTTTACTAAATGCTATTATTTTTAATTTAGTGTAGATATAAATGTAATCGTATTATGCTTAACGATAAGTACTTCTGTTACATCAAGGGTTAGTCATGGCTATTTATGATTAAGTGGTTATTACGCTGCAAATATAACCGTAATCGTTAAAGCTTTGCTGGTAAGACGAAGATTTCAACATCAGGTATCCCATCAAAAGTTCTGAGAAATTCGTTTTAAAATTTATTGCATTAACTTCTTTGATACCGATGTGAATTATTACGCCCTTTTACTTGTGAGGTGAATTTTTACGATCAACCGAATATAAATGTGTGTGTAATCGTCTAGTATTCTGGTTGGAAGTTTAAGAAATTTAGTGATTTAATAATTTAGGAAATTTGGGAATTTAAGGATTTAACAACTTAGGAATTTTGAAATTTAAATACTTGGGAATTTAGAAATTTCGTAATTTGCAAATTCAGAAGTTTGGAAATTCGGTGATTTAAAAATTTGGAAAATTGGGAAATGTGAAAAGTTAGAAATTCGAGAAATTGAAACCTAAACTTTAAAAATTTTTAAGATATTGAAATTTAAGAAATTAAAAATTAAAAAATTTGAAAAGTTTAGAAATTAAAAATTTAGAAGTTTGAATAACTTCAAAATTAAAACTTTAGGGATTTGAAAAATTAGATAATTCAAAAGCCTAAGAGTTAAACAATATATAAGTCTAGTAGTTTGGAGTTTATAAAATTTAAGAATTCGAACATTTGAAAATTTTCGTATTTGCATATTTTATCTCCCAAAAGCGAAACAAAGGTATTTTTAAACATCAAACGTTGCGTACTATTCTAGCATCCCTCATACATTGCGATTGCATTTTTTCACACAAATCTGCAGTTTTTTCAAACAATAAAGATATTACTATTAGTAGAACGTCATGGAAAACTAAATATTAAGCGAGATATCTTTTGCTTGAAGATGATAATACATGATATGATCGAGAGTTCTTGCAACCTGTAACGAACATTTAGTACATACTCTTTAGTTACAGTGAAGTGGTTATTAATACAAAATATCTCGCAGAATCTTCAAAAGTGCGATGCACATAATGAAGAAACTTTACCGAATAATTAGTACACTTATAATCACATTAAAACAAAAAGTGTAAGTCTAAAGAAAATTTTTAATTTTCAAAATCTTCAAAGCCTACAATTTAATAAATTTAAATTATAGTATACAGTGTATTAGAATTATAATTTAATTGCAATATATTATACAATCTCATAGGAGAATTTCAAATGTAATATATATATATATATACAATATGCTTCAATATAGACTTCAATAGTTGAGGCCCATAAATCAATCAATCAATAAGCTTCAATTGCAATATATGTATAATGCAATAGAAAATTTTCAATTACGACAATGTAATGACAAATTTTAATTTCAATATACAATATAATAAAACAGTATCAGTTTTAGTATACAATATAACAAAAAAGTTTCAGTTGCAATATACAGTATGATAGAATAATTCTAATTACTAATATATGATATGATAAAACAACTTAAATTGCAACATACAATACAGTACAAGAGTTTCAATTGCAACATAATAGAAGAGTTCCTCTTACAATGTCTAACATGATAAAAAAATTTTAATACAACAAATAATTCCCATTGCAGTATACAATATGTTAAAACAGTTATAATATTCTGTATAACAACAAAATTTCAATGATAGTATCCAACACGATCAAAGTACTTAATTTTCAATATAAAAAGTAGTTAAAAAAAGAAGCGATTAGAGCCAGACAATATATTCGTATTAACCGAACATTCGTTTACCTTCCATTTACGGTCCCAAGCAGAGCGCTGGTCCCAGAGGGACCAGTTAAGAGTCCATCCAGCGGCTTCTTCGTCACAATTTACGGTTCGCCAAACAAGATGTCTCCTCGGAGATACTTTATTTAACCGGACGTGCGAGGTCGATTATTTCTCGGTTTTCCGACGGGGTACACTAACTTTTTCACGTGTTTTCGCAGGTGGAAGGTGCTGCAAGTGGCGGTTGACGAGCGTTACAAGTTGCTAAGCGGATTTGGAAAGGATGGCAGCACTCCGGGTAGCCAGGCTTTCCTCGCGAGCAGCGTGGAACCACCATGGGAAAGAGCCCTCACACCCGCCAAAGTGCCTTACTATATCAAGTAATCGATCTTCCTTACTCTCTAATATCCCCCCTCTCGTAGATTTACGGTGCCGTGGATCTCCCGTTCGAACGCAAACAAACGAATAATTGATGAGACAATTGTGATTCCGGGCAACAAGAAGTTGGCGGGAATTCGCCGATGGTGTCTGGGATTTCGCGTACTGTCGCAAACATTTAGTTGGACGTTGCTTGCAAATGAATGAAACGGTAGAAATTCCGATTCGGATCGAACAGGGAACGGATTTTATTCCTGACAGGGTGAAATATTGATCGCGTGTACTGCTCACAGATTCGAGGTTTCCGAAATGTATACAACGAATTCGATTTGCAGCTATACAACGAATCTGAATGTTTCATTGCATTTAATTAGTGGGTACAGTGGGAGCAGTTATTTATTTATTTGCGGGCTGAAATGTAGGGAAGGAGACTGAACTTGTCTTACAGTTTTATGGTCACTTAGAGTAAATCTAAGTAGAGTTTATATAAAGGAAAGGATGAAGAGGGAATTGTAATTAATTTGATATGAAATATGATGTATGTAGGCATATTTCGTATCAGCGTGAAGTTGTAATATAATTGAGAAGTAAAGGTTGCATAACGAGTGTTTTAAGGAAGTGACATTTTTTAATATATCAGTATTAAGTTTAATTGAGTTACCGTAAGTTCTGATTCGATTTAAAAGTTTTTATTAGAGATATGATAGAGAGGTTTGAAAGTATTTGGTTAAAGAGTTTAATGGACGATAAATAATAGAGTAATTAATGTTTGCTTATTGTATATATATTTTAGATAGAGAAAGTGGGATAAATAAACTGTTAGAAGGTGGAAAAAAGATAGGAGAGATTTGTGAAAATTTAATTGTAATTTGTTTTTAAATCAGCTGTAAAGAATTTTGACATTTAGGAATTTACAAGAATTTTGACGTTTAGGAATTTTACCATTGAGATACGTAAGTTTAGATATTTTTAAAAGTTGAAGATTTGAGAACTTGGAAATTCGGAAATTCAAAAATTAACAAATTTTAGATTAGACAGCTTAGTGATGTAAAATTTAGGAATTTAAAAACATAGAAATTTAATAATTTCAACTGCATTTGTTTGGTACCTTGATTTAATCTTTTGAATTTGAAATATTTTCAGCCATCAATCGGAGACCACCCATTGGGATCATCCGAAAATGATAGAGCTGATGTCTTCTCTGGCGGACCTGAACGAAGTACGATTTTCGGCATATAGAACTGCGATGAAACTGCGCACGGTTCAAAAGCGTTTATGCTGTGAGTATTCATTCGTTTCTATCATTTCTATGGGACTTTGATCTAGTTTTTAATCTAATCCTCGAATTCTCCAATCCTTTCATTCTGAAACCCCAAATCCTCCAATTCTCGAATCATCAAACCACCAAATCCTCAATTCTCCAAATCCATAAATCCTCAAATCTTAAAAATTTATTATTTCTGCAACTAACATCTTTTGATGTATAGCATTCTTCACAAATTTAGTTTGAAAAATCATGATACAGATATCATCACAAAATGGCGTTATTGACTTGTATTATTATGGACATTATTATCAAAACCCTCAATTGTCAAATCCTATTTATTCTCAAACCCCCAAATTCTCAAATTCTATTATTGTCAAACCCCCGAATTCTCAAATTCCATTATTCTCAAATCCCATCATTCTCAAATTCTATTATCCTCAAATCCCATCATTCTCAAACCCCCAAATTCTCGAACCCCTAAATTCTCAAATTCCATTAATCTCAAATCCCATCATTCTCAAACCCCCAAATTTTCGAAGTCCATAATTCTCAAATTCTATTATTGTCAAACCCCCAAATTCTCAAATTCCATTATTTTCAAATCCCATCATTCTCAAATCCCCAAATTCTCAAAGTCCATAATTTTCAAATTCCATTATTCTCAAACCCCCAAATTCTCAAATTCTATTATTGTCAAACCCCCAAATTCTCAAATCCCATCATTCTCAAACCCCCAAATTCTCAAACCCCCAAATTCTCAAAGTCCATAATTCTCAAACTCCCAAATTCTCAAACCCCTAAATTCTCAAATCCCATCATTCTCAAACCCCCAAATTCTTAAATTCTATGATTCTCAAACCCCTAAATTCTCAAATTCCATTATTCTCAAATCCCATCATTCTCAAACCCCCAAATTCTCAAAGTCCATAATTCTCAAATTCTATAATTCTCAAACCCTCAAATCCAAAAATCCACAAATCCACACATCTATAAATCCACAAATCCCCAAATTCCCAAATCCCCAAATCCCCAAACCCCCAAATCCACAAATCCTCACATCCCCAAATCCTCAAAATTTATTATTTCTACAATCCGTACCTTTCAAGCTATAACATCCTTCACAAATTCAATTTGAAACACCGTGATACGGATTTCACCGCAAAATATCGTTATTGACCATTTCGGAATTCCGATCGAAGAACCTCACGATAAAACGATATCGCACCGATTGCACGACGTTTTCAAAATCACACGACTGTCGCATGACGATACAGAATCGCAACGAATCAGACATTGCTATATTCGATGTCGCATGCAGTTTGCACGCATTGCAATGAATATTTATTACCGCCGATGGACGTTGAATTGTTTATGGAAGGAATTTGGAAATATCCCGAAATATGTATCAGAAATACGATCAGAAACGATGCTGCATCGCTCCTCTGCATTGAGTTTAATTCAGCTCGTATCGTTGATTAGCCAGTCTCGTACGCGTTCATTAATTGTCATAATTTCCTCGATTAATCACGTGCTCGATTGCGATGACGCATAGATCATTGTTGATAGATTTGATCGTTCGTTTCTGTTTTGCCTTCGTGCGTCAGTGTCACTCATTCTTCTTATTTTGTAGTACTTTCTTAACACAACAGCTTTCTGCTGATATATCAATGCAGTTATTTTTTGATAACTTTTTTTTTGGTTACTAAACTGTTTATTTTCTTTTGAAGTAGAATACGGTACATGTACGCATTTATCAAGTACTTAAAATATTTATTTATTTATTTAAAGTATTTATAAAATATTTAATATGAATTGTAATATGATTGTTAATACCAATTATATAAAAATAATCAATTACAGTATAATTATTATGTACAATAATAATTACATTTTTTAATAATTATAATCTTTATTCAAGCGTATTTTTTCTCACAGCACACCATTTGATTATTATCGACACAAAATTCCTCTTTTATTAAAAATCAAAGTGTCAGTTACCGTAAACCGTATAAATATCCTACATGGTAAACATTTCATGTCGGAAGTGGAAAATGGTATACAAATTTAGAACAGTATTTTAAAAAATGCTTTTAAAACCAACAGCGCGAGTAAATCAATCAATTGTCTGTCATAATTAGTATGTACATATTGAACGGTACAAGAGAAAAATATTCAGCTAGATTCATCAGCCTGTTTCGTGTATAGTCGTTAAAATATGCACTTTTTTTTATTTAACGTTTAAATTTTCGGATGTCTGTTTGCAGTGGATCTGTTGAGTCTTTCCACCGCATTGGAGCAGTTCGATTCGCACGGGTTACGAGCGCAAAACGACAAGCTGATCGACATTCCCGACATGGTGACAGTGCTGACGTCTCTGTACGAAGTGATAACGGCTGACAATCCAACACAGGTGTCTGTGCCGTTGTGCATCGATTTGGCCATCAATTGGCTCCTCAATGTATACGATAGGTGAGTGGGCGATCCTCGATCATCAAAATAATTCACGCTTTTCAACGTACTTTGTATTTAGGGTCATTGGCGTAACTAGGTGGGAACTGGGGAGGGACAAGACACCTCTAAAATTTAGGTTAGATACATACTTTCAAATTCCAACTCCTACGTTCTTAAATCCCGATTATCCAAACATGTCTAAGTTTCAAATACCATCATACCTAAATTCTTAAGCTTACAAATTTCGAAATCATTAAACTTATCGAGTTTTTAGAGTTTTTCAAGTTTCTGAATTTGTACAATTTCTGAGCTCATAAATTTTCAGATTCACAAATCCTCAAATTTCTAATTCTCTAAATCTCTACATCCTTCAACTCCAGACTCCCCACATCTCCAACTTTACAATCTTTCAAATTTCCCAATTGTTAGATTCAAAAATCCACGAATAAGCAAATCCACAAATTACCAAATTTCAAGATCTCTAAGTTCCCAAATTCTTAAATTTCTAAATCGCCATATTTCAAATTAGCTAAGTTCAAAAATTCTTAAGTCTCCAAATTCTCAAATCCTCAAACATTTAAATTCCCTTAGCTCATATCCGAAGTCCCAAATGTTAATATCCCCAGATTCCTAATTTTGCAATCAATATATATGAGTAATTACTAAGCCCACATTAATCATCTAAAATCTTGACAAAAATTACAATTTAATGCGTGGCGATAACGAATGCAATAACGCAAAATCATGTATCAATTTAAGGTTTACCTTCCTCAAAAAAGTCCTAGTTACGCCAATGTTCCAGTCCATAAAATCCATCCTTGAAAAAAGTTCTCTTTGAAACCGCAATAAACTTAATACTTCGTCCACAGTCAACGAACCGGCCAGATTCGAGTGCTTTCATTCAAAGTCGGTTTGGTCCTGTTGTGTAAGGGTCACTTGGAAGAAAAATATCGATGTGAGTACAGATCGATGTTCTTTCATTTCATAACTGGAGTCGAGAGTGAACGACCCCATACGTAACAAGAACTCGATTATTTGCAGATCTTTTCCGACTGATCGCTGATCCGAACAGACTGGTAGATCAACGGAAACTGGGTTTGTTATTGCACGACTGCATCCAAGTGCCGAGACAGCTGGGTGAAGTGGCGGCTTTCGGTGGATCGAACATCGAGCCAAGCGTTCGCAGCTGCTTCGAAAAGGCTGGAAAGGACAAGAATGAGATAGAGGCGGTACACTTTTTGAGCTGGTTACAACAAGAGCCTCAAAGCATGGTCTGGCTGCCTGTGCTTCATCGACTCTCCGCGGCGGAGAGCGCCAAGCATCAAGCGAAGTGTAACATATGCAAGGAATATCCTATCACTGGATTCAGGTAATCTTTATTTCTATAGTTATGCACACTGTCTACTTAGATATCCTACAAAAGAACACCTTATAACAAGTATAACAGGTATAACAGGTATCCTACGAAAAAGCAAAACGCTATAACAAGGTACAATAGGTATAATATCCTACAAAAGAGCAAAGCTCTACAATAAGGTGTAATAGTTATAACAGGTATCCTACAAAAAGAATGTAAAGCAATATGGTAATTTTCAAAAATAGCTTTAGAACTAATAGTGCAAGTAAATCAATTGCCTGTAATAATTAATATGTATCTACTGAACAATGTAAACAAGAAATATTCAACTAGATATATCAGTGTGATTTATCATTCTGCTTCTTAAATACTATCACTTGATTTAGGCATTCTATTTTTGTACATTACATTTGTACTGCATTATCAACTGTCGGTAAAACTATCCTACCTAACACTGTTATGGCAGTCTAGAACAACATCGGTATCTTCAAACATTTAAATATATTTAAATAATAATCAAAGTTAAGTGAACACCCAATTTTTTTAAATTTTAGGTATCGTTGCCTGAAATGCTTCAATTTCGACATGTGTCAGAACTGCTTCTTCTCTGGACGTAAGGCGAAGAATCATAAGTTGACACATCCCATGCAAGAATACTGCACAGCGGTAAGTTGATATCGGTCAACATGAGTATCTCAATACATAAGTATGTCAGTACATAATGATATTTGGATGTTAATAAATACCCAGGGTTTCTCGTTTAAAATTGATCAGATTGCAAAATTTGGAAATTGTGACCTACATTCTGTGTCGCTTATAACAAATATCCAGTTCGTATTCTATCTTAGTTAGTGAATCCAAGTACACATTTGTCACCTAATCACTCCAATAGACCTCTTATTCATATTCTCACATACTAATCTTCACACAAAGTATACACAGCATATATCACTCAACTAAAACCCCAATGTTTGTCAATTCCTTAGACCACATCTGGAGAGGACGTGCGCGACTTTACCCGAGCGCTCCGAAACAAATTTAAGTCCAAAAGATACTTCAAGAAACATCCAAGAGTCGGTTATCTGCCCGTGCAAACCGTTTTGGAAGGGGATGCCCTGGAGTCCCCTGCTCCGTCTCCTCAACACAGTTCTCTCAGCCAGGATATGCACTCCCGATTGGAAATGTACGCTTCCCGTTTAGCGGAAGTCGAGTTGTCTCGCACGAGAAGCAACTCAACGCCGGACAGCGACGACGAGCATCAGCTGATAGCGCATTATTGTCAAAGTTTGAATGGGGGCGACAACGTGAACGTGCCCAGAAGCCCCGTGCAGGTGATGGCAGCGATCGACGCGGAGCAAAGAGAAGAACTCGAGGCTATGATACGCGAACTCGAAGAGGAGAATGCAACGCTACAAGCGGAATACGAACGATTGCGCTCGAAACAGACGCCTGGTTCGACGCCGGAAGATGGCCATGGGAACAGACAACCCGACTGCGACATGATTGCCGAAGCGAAATTGTTGAGACAACATAAGGGCAGATTGGAGGCGCGCATGCAGATATTGGAGGACCATAATCGTCAGCTGGAGGCGCAGCTGCAGAGACTCAGACAACTTTTGGACGAGGTACGTTTATATCGCTTGATAGTTGCTGATTTTTCAACCACATTCTTTTAAATAACCTTGTTAACTTGCTCTGAATGATGTACCTCTGTTAACCTGTGAATGAAGTAGTGTTAACAGTCCAATAGTGCTGGAGGCTTTACCAACACTATAGACAGCTAGCTAACTCCATTAGATGTCAAATAACACATACATCTATGAACTATTTGTAATAGTATTCAATGTAGCAATATAAAATATCATAGTACAAAGTGTGATAAATCAAATTGCATACGTCTAAAGATATTCTGCATTATTGAAATGTCTTATTGCAGCCAAACGCTTCGTCACCATCGAAAACCGGAACGCTGCAAACTCGAAGCGTGACAGCATCTCAACTAGCGACGGACTCTCCTGCGAAGATGAACGGACATTATCATGATTCTCCGGGTACGTTAGATCTTCAAGCTCTGGGTTCATAATCTTAATTACTTAACAAGGGATTTAATTGAAAATTCAAATTATCGTTATTTTCATGAGCATTATCCTTTAGGATTCAATTCTTTGTTACTTCTGTGTTTCATCCTTCTTCAGATATGAAGCAGCATGTTACAAGCAAATTTCAATAATAATTTTACTAAACGATAATCGGTTTTAAGAGTTCAGAGACTTAGAAATTTGGTAACTTGGGAATTTAAAATTTGGCAGATGTATACATTAATTTACCACGCGTTATGTAGACACACTAGATCACCATATATTATACAGCCACTCATACATCACCACACGTTATATGTATACGTGTGAAACCACAAGGCACTATATTCCTACATTTAAATCATATTACCTACACTCTAGTTGGTACTAGACGCACCCTAACCCTTGTCAATGAACGCTTCAAAAATTACTTCACAACCATCGATCACCAACTTGCCAAATTGGCACTTGGAAGCCCCAGGAAGCCAACTACATCAAAATTAAAAATCTGAAGAAGGGTTGAACAGGCATCAAGGGTACTTAAAACATCCTTCCCACATGCTTGTCCTACAAGGGATTTGAATAATAATTTGATGCGGGCATACTTGATCAGATGAAATTCATTATTCAGAAATAAGCGGGTAATGGAGGTATTACTATTGGCGCTATACTAACTGCATATTAATGAACGTTTCACAAAGTACCAAAGACATCAGCATAAGCTTATTGGTATGGGTGTATGAGCGTAGGTGGTGGAGGTTCGAACGAGGGAAGAGTGAGCAGTTTAGAGAGGCCACCACCGCCACCGCACTCTCACAGCGTTGCCCACAACGTGGGTAATCTCTTGCACATGGCAGGTTCGTTTCATTCTTCGTGTACTCGATTCGTACGATCATCTTGTGTAGCGTAATTAATTGCTGTGTCGAACGTTCTTATGCACGACTCGTTTCTGCTTAACAATAACAAATGCTTTCCTGTTTTTTCACGCCACAGGATGGATGTAAGGTGAGACTATCAACGCTTCTTTTCCTGCTGGATTGTTTTCCTTCTCTATCACGTTTTCATTTGTCACATGTTCACGATCTTGTCGGACAGAAAATCGTTTATCGAATCAAAGAAAAATATTTTTAATAATACTCGAGTAAATGCAGCTAGAAATTTAATGTGGACATATGAATACCCCAGAGCCAGTCTCTTTAGTGTTTGTGACAGATTACAAAATTTATGTATATTTTGCAGACCTTGTGACATAAATATATAAGTATATGTCGTCTGCTTATGAAAATCAAAGAGAATATTTGATTAACCCTAACGCTAAATTTAATTTAAGGGAGTTACTGCTGGGGGATGTTATTAAGCTAATGTTAGCTGAACATCCCAGCTAACATAATTTGTCACCTGGCATGTTCAAATAAATAGAGTTTCACTCTAACCATGTTGTAACAACCTCTGCTGACTGCTTCTTGCCTCTGCATATTTAACAACCATAAATTCTCAAACTGAAATATTTGCCTGCCAGGCACTCTTTGTCGTTCGCGTATGCGTGCATGTGGTCGATTGGAAGCAGAAGCATAAACCTGAATGTGATTAAAAAAATGTTCACCGACAGGTGATCGATCGTGTGATATAGATTAATGGAGAAATAAATGTGGTCATTTCGAGCGAGGATTATAATTGAAATTTGTATTTTAGGAGACTTAGGAAAAGCTGTCGGTGAACTGGTGACGGTGATGACCAGCGAGGACTCGTCTAAGAGCAACGGACAGAGGGCGCCACCGCCGGCTTTCAAATAACCATCATCATTATCAAAACTGGAAGACAGGTTTCTTTATTCCAACGATACCAACGACCGAAGAGAAATCGATTGGGAATTTTAATCTACGAACATTAATCTTTATAATCAATGACCAATAAGAAGTCTGGCTCTAACGCATATCAGGAGAGATGGTATATCGCGCAAATGCAGGGTCAGGGGTGTCGTCACAGTGGTTTTGGGTATTTTATAAGTTTTGATATACACCGTTGTATAGCTAAATTATTATTGAATAAGACGATTATGGTTTTGGCTTTGGCGGCCCCCTGAGAGTAACTTTACTACATATTGACACGTCATATCATTTCGGTAACCTAATCGTACATGAAGATGAGGATGAGACATTATACGGAAAGAATCGGTTGTTATGCGCTTGCTAGTTGAAAACTTATACGAAAAACGGGGGGTGAACGATGAAGAGGGATATAATAAGAAAATTACGCGAAAGGAAATATCATTAACAATGCATGCAAAAGCAATGTATCAAATCACGTACTCTATTATAGATCGTAGGTTATATTTACATACCCATTCTGTTCACTGCCACGGGCTCTTCCTCAACATTATAACATACACGATGTACATGTTATGTGATTCTAGAAGACACGTGAAAGAGAAACGAAGGTGATTAAATGGGGAGAGATTGAACGAATAAAACGGAATGTACGAAAGGAAGATATTCATGAATAAAAAAAAAATGATAGATGATATCCTTTTCGGTATATGTCCGAAATTATCGCGTCGTACACCGAACACAATCGTACACACGTACATACATGCATATCATTATACGTTATTATACATACACACGGTTACGTGAGAATACACACACGTACACATACGTACACAAGAGACGTCACACATTATCCACGAACACGCGCTGACGACATTTTTGTAATCGATAATAAAAGCAAAGCAAAGCAATGTGCATTATTGACTTTCAAATTTATTTTTTAATCCGGTTACGATCGTTTTTTCATATTTTTTAATGGATTTTAGATGGCAATGTCTATTATTTAAGCCTGCCGGATGTTACTTATATTTAAGAGTATATCGATAAGTATCTAATTTACAAGCTGTAGGCTGTATTCTGATATGTAATAAAGTTGTCTAGAAAATAATCATCTTGCGTTTATATGTATCCTTCCTTTCTTCTCGTTTGTGCGATGGTAATTGCGTTTTCTTATTGTGGGACGATGATCCTGATTAGAGACAATGTTTTTAATTAAAATTCTGTGATCATTGAGAAGAATGGCCATTTGTAACGGGAAACAGGCATTGTTCTACGCTATTATGTACTATGGAAGAACATTGAAATGCGTGATTAGTATATTGTAGCCAGCGCCAGCGCTAGAGTTTAGAGAACCCGAGGTTTAATTTTTTGCAATGGGATTTTGCAGTTATGGAGGTTCAGAAGTTTGGAAATTTGGAATTTTTAGACCTTGGAATTTTAAGATTATGGGATTTTGGGAGTAGGATCTTAGAGTTTTGGAATTTTTGCAACTTTAGCACTTTGAGATTTTAGAATTTTCTAATGTTAGTACTTTGGGATTTTTAATCTTTGAGACTTCAGAATTGTAAAATTGTGGAATTTTTTAAGCTTTGGAACTTCGATATTTACTAATTATTAAAATTGAAGTCTAAAATTTTGGAACTTTAGGAATTTTTAAGTTTTGAAATTGTTGGACATAGGAACTCTCAAAGTTTGCAACATTAAGATTAAACATTCTTTGCTAAAAATTTCAAAACTTTCAAACCGTAAAGTTAACTTAATTGAAAATTTGTAACAAATACACTCATAGATAAGACTACTTTAACATCCCTAATAAATACATGTAAAAAACCAGAAATAGTTTGACATTTTCAACTAATCGATACATCTACTGCAACATTCTAACACAATAAAATAATTAATTATTGAAAATTTGATCGATGAACTCCGCAAGCCAAATTTCTTGATCAGAAAGACCATTGAGATGGCAAGGACGTTACCTTGACTGGTTTTCGTAGGATCCGGTTTTAATCCTTCGATGGAAACCGTAAGTGAACCAACACGAAAAAAGGGACTGTATAGCTTTTAGTGTATGTGAAACAATCATGTAAAACAATGCAACAGTTCTCATATCTTATCGTTGTCATTTAAAAGAACAAAAAGGAAATATATCTGTGTATACTATAGTATGTACATATCTGTTAAATCACGATTTGAGGAATTAATCTAAACACAAAGTAGACATTGGGGGTCTTATCGAATTCCGTAAATGATATTCTTTCAACTCAAATTCCACTGACAGTGACATTTTTTTAACGTCGGACTACATGATATTATTCCGAGGTTGCTGCTTATTCGGCAAATACTAAAACTGAGATAAAGTACTGGGTTCGTGAAAATTATGTGCATGATCAGTTATAAATTTGAAACGATGTAGCAGAAGCGAAGAATGTTTTTGATTATATTCAAGTTTTTAATTGAATTTTTGATTCTCGAGTTTTTAGAGTATTTGAAAATTTGGAATTTTGGGAGTTTGAGGTTTTCAAATTTTTGGGATATTCAAATTTTAGAAGGGAATTTTGGAATTTTAGAATTTGGAAATTTGAGAGTTTGGAAATTTGAAAATTTGGTAATTTACAACTTTCGAATTTTGGAATTTCAAAATTTAGAATGGAAATTTTTGAATTCTGGAATTCTGAAATTTGGGAATTTGGGAATTCTGGAATTTGGGAATTTTGAAATACTCGAATTTTGGAATTTGGGAATTTGGGATTTCAGAAATTCTGGAATTTAGGAATATGGAATACTGAAATTTTGGAATTTGGAAATTTGGGAATTCTGGAATTTTGGATTTTTGGAATTTGGGAATTTGGGAATTTGGGAATTTGGGAATTCTGGAATTTGGGAATTTTGGAATTTGGGAATTTGGGAATTCTGGAATTTGGGAATTTTTGAATTTGGGAATTTTGGAATTTGGGAATTTGGGAATTCTGGAATTTGGGAATTTTTGAATTTGGGAATTTTGGAATTTGGGAATTTGGGAATTCTGGAATTTGGGAATTTTTGAATTTGGGAATTTTGGAATTTGGGAATTTGGGAATTCTGGAATTTGGGAATTTTTGAATTTGGGAATTTTGGAATTTGGGAATTTGGGAATTCTGGAATTTGGGAATTTTTGAATTTGGGAATTTTGGAATTTGGGAATTTGGGAATTCTGGAATTTGGGAATTTTTGAATTTGGGAATTTTGGAATTTGGGAATTTGGGAATTCTGGAATACTGAAATTCTGAAATTTGGAAATTTGGGAATTCTGGAATTCTGGAATTTTGGATTTTGGGAATTTGGGATTTCAGGAATTGTGGAATTTGGGAATTTTGGAATACTGAAATTTTGGAATTGTGGAATTTGGGAATTCTGAAATTCTGAAAATTCATTTTCACAAAATAAAATAGTTATAACAATATACTTCTCCGATTTGCATAAAAGTATTAAGAATTTCAATAAGCAACTACTCTCTGTTATACACATAACGTTTCTCTAAGTACGAAGCGATAATTAGTGTGAAAATTATACTGCAATGGCGAGTAAAATCACACTGTCCTCAAATTGCTAGATGTATTTGTGAAACACGCGAGAGGAGGTCCTTGCACTTAACACTGGTTTGCGTGCAACCATCACGAGTAACGTGAACGCACGTTGCGTGTTGCTTGCACACGCGTGCACCCAACTCAAAGATGCATTCTCAGGTACATATGTACAATACATATGTATAGTTGCATATGTGGCCTCGACCTTGGTGCATCGTCCCACGCAGTGGCGTAACGTTCAGGTGAGATTCTAATTTCTTACTATGGCAACAAGGAAATGTACATATTAATGTTTCACAGTTTCAATTCGTTCTATAAATAATTCTGCTTCGTGTGCACATAACTTTAACACTGATGTCACTTATTCGTGATTTTATTGCTTAGTTTTTTATACTAATGTTTCTTTTTTCTTTTTATCTGGTGTTCACGCTTTGGTGTGCAAACATTGTGTGGGTGTCTTTTACGATTTCTGGAAAAATAGGATTTAAGATTTATTGAGACTATTATATTGACTCTTCGTTTCATTTCGTTGCAAATATTCGACGTAGACGATGTGTGATGTTTGTTAAATATAAATGAATAATTAATTTTATAGTCAACGCGATTCATTAAATATTCATTATTGTGTTTGAATAATTAATTAAATTGAATATATAATTATAAATTAAATTAATAATTATATATCGAGTAAATAAATATAAGTTAAATTAAGTAGAAATTAAAGCCATTTAAATAAATTATGTTTGATAGGAATTATTATTTTGGATGTCTTACCAAATTGTAATATTGTACAAATTTTCTTTATAGAAATTTCTTTTATAAAAATATTTCTTTGTTGTTTTCTTTTTGTTATTATTTGTTGATGTTCAAAAGTGATTTTTTTTCAGAACTAAAAATATATAGGTGTCAAACAAGTAATTGTGTGAGTATTAATTCTTGGATATTATAAAACTTCTTCACTATATAAAACAACGTTCTATTTAAAATTTCTATAATAAATACATTTACAATACTTCAAATAAATTTCGTCAAATTTTATTTATTTAAAAAATTGTTTAAATTGAGTCAACTGCAAAATAATTTACACCGGACAAATAATAGAACATTTATGTACAATTTTGATCATAAAAACAAAATAAGAAACAATATCTTACATGCACCAATCCACCAGAAAAGTAATATTAAATTGCTCTTTAAAATTACAAAAATATTAATATTAAATTGTACTTTAAAAGTACAAGAAAATTAATATAAAATAGTCCTTTAAAATTACATAAATATTATCATTAAATTTAACAAAGCTTTCAAATAATTTTCCACATATTCCTTTGTTAGCTTTATACCAACATAAGTTCAAATAAACAAATCAAATAGAATCAACAGAAATATCGTTTCAGTTCAATCTTCCTGTTATCATGCCACATATTTGAATAGTATTAATACCAAATGCTTTCACGTAGAATTATCCAACGTTTTAATGGATCTCAGTTTATGATTCTTGTTTCGTGGTTTTCTAAATATTGAATAACGTTTGCTATTCCCGAAGGAACAGTTTATCGTTGGCGAATTCCGTTGGCGAATCGCAATTTTGCAAATCATATACACGTTCGTAGAACTTGAAGTATGGTCGATTGAGTCATCGATACGTGACACGTATACGAAAATACGTAAGCAGAAATTTTAGTGTACGGTAAAATCAACGAAGGTCGACCGTAATCGTTCCCTGTTATGGTACACTTCGTCATTCAAACATGGTTCTTTGATTTAACACTAGCGAAATAATTGATATTAGAAGGATATCTATTATTAAATTAAATGTAAAAATGAAAAATCATGTAGTATAGACATTTGTGTAACTTGTAATAAGGTGAAGTGGGGTAAGTGCAAACTGGTTTTTGTAAAGTTGGTATTTAAACGTAAGTATTTTCGGTCTGCTATGTAAATACTTAACGCTGTCGATATCGAACGCTTTGCACAATTACTACTATTTAATTAATATTAACTAGGACCTTAATTTTCCTTGTACATTTTGATTTTGATAAGAAATTGTTTAAAATGTCAATTACTCTGCACTTTCCCCGAAAATGGAGTAAGAGCGTAATTTGAAGTTAAATACTTTGAAACTTTATTTCATGTGCAATGGGGCAAGAGCAGAATTATTAACAAATCTGCTATAAAATGCTTTTTACTGCATTATGCATGTACTCTATACTGCCAGCAAGTATTCTTAGCTAAAATATAAAAGGGGATATAGTGAAACAAAACAAGGAAACAAATGTACTAAATGGAGAAATTTCGCTCATATTGTAATAAAAATAGCCTGTTTACGAACTTGCACCGTTTACGAACTTACCCCACTTCACCTTACAATGATACAATTGAGACACGTTCAAATTCCCAAAGTCCGAAATTTACAAATTTTAATATATGGAAATTTCCGCAATTACAAATTATAACTCGGAAATTCTCACGATTATAAATATTTAAATTTGTAAATTCAGAAGATTCAGTTACAAGTTTTCAAATTTCGGCAGTCAATAATTTTCGTATTTTCACAAACTTAGAAATTTGAAGAAATTTTCAAATTTCTGTACAAATTCTGTATTTCAGTAGAAATGATTTTCTTCATCTTTATGATTTTCTTTCTTTAACAAAAAACAATTTGAGATAATTATAGAAAAATGTTATATGCTTCGATGAAGTTATCTTAATTTTTGTGATTGAAATTATAAAATGTATCTGTAAATTCAATGAGTATGGTTATTGTAATATTAATACACTGTTACAAATTTTCACGTTATATTATTGATATTAACTGAAGTATTGAGAAGAAACGATGAGTTGAGCAAACGCTTCATACAGATTCTTTGAAAGCTGTGCGGTGCAGGGAGAACTCGTTATTAAAGTGAGTTCCATGCATTCCTTCTGTTACGGCAATGCTTTTCTCACGGGGCATTGAACGTCCTTAGAAATATAGTGCACACTTTACCAATAAACCAATACAAAAAGTTTTTCAATATTTTTAAACGTAAGAGTTCTTCCAATTTCCTAATCCTTGAATCTGTAAGTTCAAAAATTTTCTAATTACCAAATTTCTAAATACCCAAATTTCCAAATCTCTAAAACACTAGATTCGTACATTTGTAAGTTTCTAAATTTGTTAATTCCGGAATTCTGAAATTTCTAAATTCCTAAATTCTTAATTTCCTAACTTTCTAAATTCTTACATTCCTAAGTACTCATATTTCTATATTTCCAAATTTCCGTATATCTGAATTCCTAAATTTTGAAGTTCTTACTTTCTCCAAGTCTCCAAATCTGTAATTTCTGAAATACATAAATCTCTATATTCTCAAGTCCTCACATTACCAAATCCCTATTTTCAAATCCACTAACTCTCAAATCTCCAAATCTCCAAATTCCCAAATCGCCAAATCCTCACAATCCTAAGCTTTCACATTACCAAATCCTTACATTTCCAAATTACCATGTGCCTATATTCTCCAGTTCTCACATTACCAAGTCCCCAAATCCCCAAATCCCCAAATCCCCAAATCCCTAAATTCCTAAATCTCTATATTCTGAAGTCCTCATATTACCAAATCTCCAAATCTCCAAATTTTGAAATCTCCAAATCCCAAAATCCTCCAATCCCCAGGGTCCCAAACTCTAAATTCCTAAACCCCAAACTTCCAAATCCCCAAACAATCAACTTCTCCAACTTACAAATTTCCAAATTCTCAAACCCCCAAATTTTCTCCCCAGTGTACCAAATAGAAAATTGAATCTAGAAAATAAAACACTAGTACATTAATTAATTAATAACACGAAAATCCGCATACATAGCCGTCTTCACGATACCCTAACAATGTGAACAATTCAGTATGTAAGCATCTTGAATATTTTCATGAAAGACTGTACCTACGTCAATTTCGTACGACTACTTCTTTTTCTACCGAACATTTTTTTAGAAAAGCATATGTACTGGTGATGGTAAATGAATAAGAAAAATAGTGGTTAAGAGTTTTATGCGGTTTATTCGGAGAAGATACTGCGGAGGAAAATGTACACTTAAAAAATTCCTTGTCGTTCCATTGGTAGTTCCGTTTCCAGAACGAGTTCTCGTCCTAAAGTAACGGAGGGGCTCGAGAAAGTGGTCAGGATAAAGGTACTGGACAGATCCTATGGTTTGCATTCATCGTAGGTTTCAAGACAACTGATATTCTTTTCTGATCAAAATATGGGCTTGTATTCAATCGTAGAAAACTAGTTTTTAACTTTTTTTACTTCTTTCAGAATAATTTGTATGATTCAGCAGTTGTTTTTCATATATGAACAGGTGGGTGTACATATAACATATGTATGTAAGACATATGTATTAATATATGTTATAATACATGTATTGTATAAGTTGTAATATATGTTATGATGCATATATGTTTTTAAATATATGATACAATATATGAACAGGTGAATGTACATATACAATATGTATATACAAGATTTAATGTATGTTATAATACATGTATTATATAAGTTGTAATATATATTATAGTGCAAGTATATGTTTTTAAATATATGATACAATACACATATGAACAGGTGAATGTACATATACAATATGTATATACAAGATTTAATGTATGTTATAATACATGTATTATATAAGTTGTAATATATATTATAATGCAAGTATATGTTTTTAAATACATGATACAATACACATATGAACAGGTGAATGTACACATACATGTGTATGTATAAGGTTTAATATATGTTATAATACATGTATTATATAAGTTGTAATATATATTATAATGCAAGTATATGTTTTTAAATACATGATACAATATACATATGAACAGGAACAATATACATAAGGTTTAATATATGTATGTTATAATACATGTATTGTATGAGTTGTAATATATGTTACAATGCAAGTATATATTTTTAAATATATAAAATAAAATTTTAAATGTATGAAGAAAATTTATAAATGTGTAATCAAATGTATTTCAAATGTATGAAAACAATCTATAAATGTGTAATCAAGTTTCCAAATATATACATAAGATTCATGAATCTATGATCCAGTTTTCAAATGAATGAACAACATTCATAAATCTATGAACAAGTTTTCAAATGAATGAACAAGATTTATAAATGTATGATCAAGGTTTCAAATGTGTGAACAAGATTTATGAATGTGTGATCAAGTTTGCAAATATTTGATTAAGATTTATAAATGTATGATCAAGTTTATAAACGTATAACAAATTTTGGAAACGTATCAACGTGTTTTACAAATTTTTTGTATTTCTGTGTTGTGTACGTATATAGTATAACTGGAAATTTTTATTGTTTATAGTATAAATTGTGTATTTATTAACTGAATGATAAAGCCAAGTAATAGGAACATCACTACCATTAGAGTGTAATTATATTTCATAAAATTTAACAATAATTTAACAATAGCAATAACAAATTCAAATTAACAAATTTAAAGTTTACATTTGGAAATTATCCTCAATCTTTAGAGTTTCAGTATGTGATGAAACAGTAATAGTTTATGTCCATTTTTATTCAAACAGTCAATATGTTAAAATAATTTTGTCGATCTCTATGATAGGATAATTTTATCGAAAAAAAATATATTGGAGATAAGTTAATGATTACAATTATTGTTATAATGAAATCGTTTGTAAAATTTGCATAATTATAATAGCAATAATAATTATAATTTTATCAAGATATTTGAATACCGTTTCAGTGAATTATTTAACGCCGATTAAACAAGGAAAAATATACATTGAAAATATAGACATTTTATCAATGTAATCATATTATTTGTACGATGTAATTATTTGATCAAGTTAATCAAGCTTAACTTAGTCGAGTAAGATTAAAAAATTGCACTAAAATACCTCATAGATAAATTAATAGAACGAACAAAGAGATCAATCTAGTTCATAAGAAAATTATACCACGCTTTAATACAAAAGGTCAAAATTTAATATACTTAGCAATAATTTAAAAAATTATTTATGTACTTATATACAACAATTTATGTATAAAACTAAATTAACAAATTTTCAGCGAAGAAGTAAATTTGATAGAATCTACAGATGCAGGATTCAATATAAAACGCTTTCTTTTACGATTAATGCGACAATGCTGATAAGATTATGATATCACAAATTTTTAAGTTTTCCGAAACGTAGCGAATGCCATTCACAGAGCTCGTCAGTCTACATCTGGTGCTGACGTCATCGGTATACATAAATCAAACGAACGTTGGTCACATGGTGAAAAATTAACAAAGCAGCGATTATAAAAAAACAGTATATTCAAATGACTGTCTTATCGTTGACCATATATGGTGACGGGAGTTTTACGCTTGACTTTTTGGAGTAAGAATTTTCTTTCATATCTTAATTACCTATTTCTTTGAACACTCATTTTATCATTTCCGTCGAATTACCGGTTCCGATGATTTTCGCTTAGTAATATTACATTGTATATGTTGTAATTAACCGCAAGTAGATATAGATTATATTTTCAGAATAAGTAGATATAGAGGATATATGCATTAAAAAAGTAGATATACATATGTGCATATACAAATATATGTATGTAGGTACATATGTTTAGAAAGATGTTAAGATGCATTATGTTGGGTTAGAACATTTGCGACCTGTATGTGTATTTTATTTCATAATTACACAAATCTCTAAATTTCAAAATTCTCTAATTTTCTAATTTTCAAAATTTCAAATTTCAAGCTGCAAATTGTAAATATTCAAATATTAAATTTTCAGATGTTCAAATTCCAAAATTTTCAAACCTTGAAAATTCGAAACTTTCAAACTTTAAAACACCAAATCCCGACATTCCCAAATTTTTATATATCGTAATTCTCAAATTTCCAAATTTCTACACTTCAAATCCCCAAATTTCCACACTTCGATTACCTAAATCGCTAAATTCTTAAATTTATAAATTTTCAAACTTTTAAATTTTTTAACTTCTAAATCCTTAAATTCCCGATTTCTGAAACCCCAAATCTCGAAATCACCAAATTGTCAAATTTCCAAATTTCCAAATTCCAAAATTTCCAAGTTTCCAAATATACCAATTTTCAACTTTCCAAGTTTTTCAATCCCTAAATTAGTTTATCAACCTCCAAATTTCCCCAAATTCTCAATCTCCAACATTCCGAAGTTTTCAAATTTCCAAACTCCCAAATTATTCTGCATCCCTAAATTTCTAATTTCTCAAATCCCCCGAGCTCAAAACCCCGAATTCTTGAATTCCCAAATTCTCACAATTCCTTATACTCAACTTTCTAAACTCTCTACTTTCCAATATCCACACATTCAAATATTTCCCTAGTTTCGAATCTTTCAAACTCCCCGAACCCCACATCCCAAGTTCTCCAAATTGTCCAATATCAAATACCCCAAAATTTACTAAAGCAATTCCCGAATCACTAAATCCCCAATTTCCAAATAAGATCTCGACAGTGCCTGGTTCACCAGGTACGTAAAGGAACGTTTGTTCATGAAAGCGGCTCCAGGAATTCGTCAGAGACGGCGCCTGACGTCATCCTCGTGCCAGACTGGAGAACGGAGGTCACGTGTCGTGGCTTCGGACGAAAACTCAATACTCGGCCAGATTCGTGTCGGCCAATAAGCGCCCGAAGGACTCTCGCCGATCCCGAGCGCGTCAGTCGAGCCGCGACCGTTGAACAGTGTAGTACACATACGATCGTGCGCGTTATTTATCGTCGCATTTCGTACGAGTGATTTTTTGTCACCGTAAGTTTTGTTTGGGACGTGTTCTGCCGGTGAAACGAATCAGGGATCACCAACATGGCCAGTAACAGGGCAGCCAAGTCAGGATTCGCTGCGGAAGCGCAAAGAAAGGTAACATCCGTTGAAAATATGTATATCTTTTTTTCTTTTGTACGACGTTAACACCGTGACCCAGTGAGCAACCTACCCCTCGAGGAATTCGACCTAGTAAGGGTGCCGCGCATGCGCGGTGCATACGATTCATTACTTTTTCATGCGTTCGACATAGTACTGTTTTTTGATGAATTGTCAAAATTGAGTGCTCGGTATATTGATTTTTTAACGCCAATTGTTTTAGTTAGTTTTAATATCAATTATTTTAGCTTTAATATCAACTGTTTTAGTCTTAATATCAATTGTTTTGATTAGCTTCAAGATGTTCGCGGCGAATGAAGTTTAATTTGTTGAAACGTAGATACATTTCAATTTTGACTCCAATATTGTTATGATCCTTGGTATCATTTTTAACTGCAACTGCTTTTATAAATTTTGGGAAAAAGTAAGCACTTTCTACATGTAATTTATGACATGTGGAATTTTGATAACAGTTTCCGTTTCATTTTTATGCAGAGATTTAAAGAAGGAATGTACAGTTCGTAAATGTTGTGACATTCTACTATAGCTCGAACACTGGAACAAGTCATATGTTTATCTTGAATACGTGTGTACGTGCCAGTAAAACGCGTCTGTAGATTACGATAGTCGTGTCAGAGATATTCCATGACGCTTATCGTCGAGTAATCCCGTAAGTAATTAGAATGCAGAGTGTACAGGAACGCTGCTGGACACAGGAAGATCGTGACGTTACTTCGATCTACCAAATTATTGCACATGCCTAAAAGTAGAATGTAATTAAATTTGATTTATCAGAGGTACATGTTGAACATCGGAAATCATTACGTGTGTAGTTATTTCAATAATTGGAAGTATGGTTAAAATATTATTAAAGATCGTAATATAGGTACGTGACACAACTTGTTATTCCGCTGGAATACACTGTGTGTTTTCATTTACTTACTGGATTCCTCTGCGATAAGCAAGTCACTGAAATCAGTCAACCGAGAGAACAAACTTTCAAAATTGTCCACAGAAATTCCATAGTAATGATAGTTCGAGGATTCTTGGAAATATCTTGTTGAAACTTCTGATGGATCAAGATTATTCTACCATCTGAATTTCTATTTGTATTTTGATATTAAAGATATATTTTTCAAGTTGAAATTTTAGAATTTATTGTATTGTGGTTTTAAATTTATTTCTGTGCACAATTGATTAATGATTGAATTACTTCATTATTTATTTAAAAAATTAAATTTCCTACAATAACTTTAATGAACTACTGTAATAAATAATCGAACAATTCGTGTATTATTGCTTATTAAAATAATAAATAACAATAATTTTTTCATTAAAATTTTATCAAATTAATATTTTTCAACTGGACAGTACAATTGTGTCATAGTGAACATTTACTCCAAATTATATCAATGAAGTTTCTTTATAAGCTACACGCTTATGTAAACTTTTGATGAAGATCATTTTTTCATAGAAATTTTATTATCAAATCAGTATTTTTTTAATTCTGTGCAACTGTACTGTAATCAATAACTTTAATTCCTAAAAATCAAGTTTTACCATATTCTTCCACAATCTTCTAAACTTTCATAGAATAATCATAATTGTTCAACTTAAATTTTATCATAAAAATTTGTTAATTTTGCGTTACATTCACAACTATACCATAATGAATTATTTACTAATTCACAGCAATCAAATTCTTCCACAGTCCAACTTTCTGATTTTTCCTGAATAAAAAGATTTCTATTCAAATTTTATTTATTGTATAAATAACGTTATACAATATTTTTATCACAATAATAATGTATTATTTTTATATATAATTTATATATTTTTTATTACTATCAAAAAACTTGCTCTCTCCAATTTATACTAACAATCTAACCTAACCTATAACAACAATTTTTCAAAAGTGACATAACTTCGTTCCAGAAAACGTCTCGAATCAAGGGTTTCATGAAATAAATGATAGTACGATAAATGTTGGTTTCGAAGAAATGTTTGTCCGTGTGAATCCGTTCGGATAACAATCGCAAACATAGATAAGCCAAGTGCAAGCAGTGAATTCACCGGAAGATTATCAGAGTTATGATACGCTCGAGGTGTGTCTTCGTTTAAAACACCTGAGATAGAAGCGCATTTCCGTCGAATACATTTGTGCTCGGAAGTTGAACGAGCCATGTTTTGCTCGCAACAGCTGCCAGCCGAACCTTTCTTTCGAGCAGGGAATTAAAATGAGACCCAGTTGCCAAAGAAGGGAGCGTCCCTCACGAAACCCGATGGCCATGGTACACTTCTTCCTTACATCACCTCACCTTTACCTGCCCAATATTTTCACGTTGCCACGCGATAAAATCATGGATTCACGGTTTATTCTGGGACTTACTATTTCGAAAATACGAATGGTACTGTTGAGTGCAATGTGGCTTCATTTGAATAAGAATCAATGTTTAAACTTATAAATGTATAGACTATTATTTGGTTTTTAGCTTTTTTATTTTCAAATTTTTATGTGATCAAAAATTAGTAGTTTGAAGTTTTTGTATTCTTGTATTTTCAAATTTTCTTATTGCAAATTTCGAAATGTTTACATTTTGAAGTACCATACTCTAAATTCTCATAATTTAAAAACACCTTAATTTATATATACTTTCAATATCTTGATTTAATAATTACAAAATTCAGTCAAGTTTCCAAATTCTGAAATTTCCATATTGTCAAATTTCCAAATTGTCAAGTTTCCAAATTCTCAAATTTCCATATTGTCAAATTTCCAAATTCTCAAATTTCCATATTGTTAAACTTCCAAATTGTCAAGTTTCCAAATTCTCAAATTTCCAAATTATCAAGTTTCCAAATTCTCAAATTTCCAAATTATCAAGTTTCCAAATTCTGAAATTTCCATATTGTCAAATTTCCAAATTGTCAAGTTTCCAAATTCTCAAATTTCCATATTGTCAAATTTCCAAATTTTCAAGTTTCCAAATTCCCAAATTTCCATATTGTTAAACTTCCAAATTGTCAAGTTTCCAAATTACCAAATTTCCATATTGTCAAATTTCCAAATTCTCAAATTTCCATATTGTTAAACTTCCAAATTGTCAAGTTTCCAAATTCTCAAATTTCCAAATTGTCAAGTTTCCAAATTCTCAAATTTCCAAATTATCAAGCTTCCAAATTCTCAAATTTCCATATTGTCAAATTTCCAAATTGTCAAGTTTCCAAATTCTCAAATTTCCAAATCTTCACCTTTCCAAATTGTTAAGTTTCCAAATTCTCAAATTCCCAAATTCCCAAATTTCCAAATTCTCAATTTTTCAAATTCCCAAGGTCCTAAATTCTTAAATTCTGATATGTTCAAATGCTCAAATTAAAAAAATGTGAAATACTCAAATGTTGACAATCTCAAATTCCTAAATTCTTGAATTCTCAAATGCTTATATTCTTATACTTATATATGTCCAAATACTCAAACGATCAAATACCCAAATTCTCCAATTCTCAAATTCTCAAATTTGAGAACTTGAAAAGTTCCACCTACAAAACCTTGTTAACTTGAAAATTTCTATCTCCCTAAATATTAAAATGTACAAACCATAAATCAATCATTTCTACTGTCACTTACCTCTTACGCCACATTGCTTAAAAGACTCTTTAATGCCCGGCGTTGAACAAAACTCCACCTTTCTGAAGTTGAGAAAGTCACATAACTGTCGAGTCATAAAAAAGCGTAGTACATAACCGTAATTAACCGACGAGAGAAAAATGGGTTAATACTTATCGAAGTTATAATGCAAAGTACTCGCGTCGGATAATGATGAATAATGCCGTGAATGATTGAATGATTACAAAGGAAAGAAAACAGCGTCGGTACATATCAGTGTATGAAACAAGAGGGGAAAAATGGGGCAAAACACAAGAGATCCCTTGTCCGGTTGAGTCGTTTTCTTCTTCTACCAGAGAGTCGTTTTCTTCTTCTTGCTCGTAAAACAATCGACGAATAACTATCCTCGAAGGACGCTCATTATGGCACCGGTGGAGAAACGTATGCTCATTATAAAGATACGCTTATCGTCAACGGAATGCAACGGTTCGTTCGTCGCCTTTTACTGTTGCGCTTTCGAGGAGGATTTCATGAGTTGCTTGAAATATGTGGAGTACATCTTGTACACAGTGTCTTCAAAATGGTGGTACAACTGAAAATAGGGCGAATCTGCACGAAAATATAAGACAGGAATATATTATAAAATTTGCTCACGTCGCTTCGTAAAAACTGAATATAAACAGTTTTGAAGTATTTGTAAAAACAATTAATTAGTTATTAAGTATTTACTTAATACTTAAAATTAAATATTTGTAAAAAATTTGTTCACGTAAAATGATGAATGTAACAACTTTTTATTAATTTGAGAATTAATGAATGTTACTAAAGTTATCAGTCACTTTTCAATGTTAACATAAACATTATTTATGTAGACACAAATTTTGCGCAGAGATTTGATAGCGTAGATGGTTAGAAGAAGTTTCGGAAAAATGGTGGATTTCTAAATGACCAAAGTTCTAATTTTTGCAGTTTTTAAATCTTTATATTATCAGGTCCTCAATTTCTCTTTCCAAGTTCAGAATTTCCTGTGTTTTTAAATTTCTATTAATTTCTATATCCAAGTTCAACATTCCATGTTACTAAATTCCCAAATTGTCAAATTTTGCAATACAGAATTTTCCATTTGTGAATTTCCAAATTACCAAACTCCCAAATCTCTATATCCGCAAACTAAAGAATGACTGCTCTTTAGAAAAAATCACTGCTACAACATTGTATCCAACAATTCCACAATTTTTTAAGTTTCCAAGTTACTACATCCCCAAATTGTCAAATTTTGCAATTCAGAATTTTCCATTTGTGAATTTCCAAATTACCAAATATCTATATTCTCAAACTAAAAAATGACTAAAAACAAGTTACTACTCTTTAGAAAAAATCACTGTTACAA